GTGAGAAAACCACTCTCTGAAAATTTCAGTATTTTGTCAAACTTGTCAAATTCGATGTTACTATTTATTTATTTATATATTTGTCGTCAATCAGTGTAGACCGTTTTACAATTGCTGTCTGAAGTGCTATTTTTACAATTTTGTCATGGTTATATTTTTTTATTATATGTCTTGAGAACAAGTTAAAAAATACTTCTAGCTGACGTTATGCGTGGAATTAAAATATTGCTTCAATTTAGATCTTGTCATTTTATTATAAGGTCAATGTTATCGCAGTGCTTATTATATGTTTCATCATAACAGCGATTAAAAAAATGAACCACAAACAACGATTTTTTTAAAGTCATTAAAGTTGACTACTTTTTTATGTTCTGGGCTTCCAAGAGAAATTCAGGCCTATTCTGCGCGGCGTGTGAGGTGAGGTGACACGCTCTCACTTGTGAAGTGACAATTGTCTCCTCGGGTGAGGTGACTCTCCGTGCAAATCAAATGGAGAATCACCTCACGCTAGGTGACAATTGTCACTTCACCATCACTTCACTGTCACTTCACCTCACACGCCGCGCAGAATAGCCCTGATTATATCATATCGATATTTAATCGATGACATAATAAGACGCCTTCAGGCTCTACAAATTGAATATGAGCCCAGGGAATTTTCTTCAACTTCTGGGTACTTCGTGAAACTTTAAGGACTTCTAAAAAGTTCAGGAAACATCGCAGAAATTGAAGAAACTTAGTAGAAATTCTGGGAATTTGATATATCTTCAGAAAAAAAATCGTAGAAACTGCATAGAAATGGACAATTGATTAAAGTTTGAGAAGCTTCGTAGAAGTCAAGGAAACATTATTGTATTTCAGGAAGCTCATTATTGATCGGGAACATCTACATAATTTCAGGGAACTTTTTTGAAGCCTTATGGACTTGGAATAGTTGCGGAAATTACGTACAAATTCAAGAAATTTCGTTCGTGGAACTTTCGAGAAACGTAGAAATGCAAGAATCTTTATAGACTTTTTGCAAATTTCGTAGCATTTTGAGGAGCTGCGGAAAACTGCATATAAGTGTAAGGAATTTTAAAAAAATCCGGGGATCTAAATAATAAAAATAGTTCAATAAAATTTTAACAACTTCAGGGATCCTCGCTTCAGCTTAAGGAACTCTGTAGTTTGTCAGAGATTTTACTTCAAAAAAGCTCCATGAACTTCTTGGACGTTTTGGGAGCTTCATTAAATTTCATGGAACTTTCCAGATATTCAAGAATATTTTTAGATGATAGGTGTCTTTTCAGAAGTGCAAAGATATTCGGAGATTTTCGTAGAATTACGGGAAATATTTAAAAGATCTCCATATAGACGAAGATATTAGCGAGATGACGACTCTATCTAAGTTGCAGGACAAAATTTGCTTTGCTGTTGTGAAATTCTCGCACGCTTAGTAGATAGAAACAAGATTAATGAATATTTTCTACTAAAAGGTAGTGAGTGATGCAAGGAGATATATTTAGATGCACGAGATGTACAATTTTTTTTCATATATTTATTAACTAGCGGGAGATTTTCCGACTATCTAAAATTGAGATTTAGATGTGTAACACCCGAAGGGTATTAATAAAGTTCTCTGGATATTTTTCCAACACTTCAGGTGGATCATGTTCTGAGGATCTATAACCAAGTCAATTATTTTTTCAAGACTGTAGGTTGTTCAGGAAGTATTCAAAAGTTTTCCAGCTAATTGCATCTGAAATCTTTAATCACAGACAAGCAGACGTAACTCTTCATTGTGTATCTTCGTTCATGCATTTAACGGTTGATTTGAATATTATCAGTTCCGCGAACTACTCGCCGCAGCGCTGGCATCGGATCACTTTGACGTTTCTATACATTCTATAGAACTTTTATGCAATATTGTTTACGAGTTATCGAACAAGCTTGTTTTCCGCGAGAAGCCAGATAGATGTCGCTACTGAGGTTATATGTTTTGAGATACTATGTTTTCAATAACAAGTTTATCAAAGAGTTACGTCTGTTTGTCTGTGCTTTAATGATGAATCTAGATTTTATGGACATGTTTGTACATTCTCTATAGAGAAGACCCGTGCCGGGCACAAATTTCGACGAAGAGATGGATTTTTTTCATATAGGGGAAATGGCTCTAATGTTGGCCTATGGATCTAAGATTAGGCCCATCGCTAAAAATCTGCTATTTATCAATTTTATCAAGATGAACGCGTCATTGGGACGGTACTTATGGATATTTTTGGTCACTATTGAAAATTTATTCGATTGCTGAATTTATGTATGGGCCTAGGGGCATTTAGGCCGATATTAAATCCTTTTCCGCTACCTAATACGTATAAATTTCTTTCTTTTCGATGAAATTTATGTCCGGAGTTCAGCTGCAGAATAGTTTGGATGATTTAGAACATACTAAAATCCGTGCTTTTTGATTATATTTTTTGATTAAATAAATTTAAAACACTCAAAAAGCTCTTACTTGTATAAAGTACGTGTTAATAATAAATTGGTACAGAATGGGTTTAACGAAACCCAATGCTTTTGAAAAAATAAATCCAATTATTATTTAGTTACAAACAGGGACACAATCATTCCAATTTTGAGTTCTTGACTTTTTGATGCATCGAATAAAAAAAAGCTTCATTACTTTCTTTTCTCTTCAAATGTCAGAATCATGACATTTGAAATCCGGTATCTTAAAAGCTTAATTAAATTAAATTATAACCTGATTTTTCGTAATTTTTGTCAAATGTCAAGATTTTTCAAAATTTTAAATCTTAATTTTATTTTACTTTCTTATCTCGAAGAATTTTCTTCTTGAAAAACGCTGTAAGTCTCAGAATCTAGATAAGTTACCCAAGATCTTGAATTACAAATTTTACAAAGATTCAAAGCTTGGCTAAGCCAAATGAAAATCTTTTTTTTAATCTCTAAAATTTATTTTGAATTATATATAATTTTATATGATTATTAAAAAACTTATTTCATTTGTTTTTAATATTCATGTACTATATTTTTTTATGAAATGACTGTCTTGGAAGGATCTTGAAAGTTTATTTTAGTCTTTGAATTATGACAATTGATCTAATGTCGATGAATTTTATTTAAATTTGTATTCGGAGAATTTATGCTTACAATCTGTATCAGAAGTTACAAAATCTTGAAAACATATGGGTTTGGGATCTCAAAGCAATTTTTATTTTAACATTTAGAATGTTAAGAATTGTGCATGGACATATGTCTTAAACATTTTCCTAAGGATGAAATTTATTCCGTGTGCACTCAACCATGCTTCAAAGACAGAATTTTAGAAAAATATAAAATTTAAAATCGTAGAATTTATGTTTGGTTCCTATGTCTAAATATTCAAAATCTAAAATGGTTAAAATTGTCTTAAGTTTGCGATGCTTACATTTATGAGATCCGGACGCTATGTGATTTTATTACCAAAAGCATGGACAAACGATCGTTGCTTGTTCAAAATCAGATAGCTTTTAAGGCTCCCTCAATCGAGGGCCCGATCGTTGTTATAAAATAAATACAATCAAAATAATTACAATCAAATACAAGTTGTTTTAATGCAATATGATTCAATAGCATCTTCGCGAGTTTTTATTTAACCGTCGTCTAGCAAAAAAAAAAAAATATGCAACAACACCCCCCCTACGCCCCTCCAGATAAATTTTCTAGCTGCGCCAATATTGGTTGAAATGTATGGAGAAATAACAGTTCTTCACTGTTTCGTGCATATAACTGGTTCAGCAAACTTGATTAAGCTCAGAATTTCAGCACACGTAGCTTAAACTCAGACAGATATTAATTAATTATATGCATTCTGCTCGTATATTGCATCAAAATACAGGCAGCTTATGCAACTTATCAACTAGATTACCACTAAAAACGAAAGTTCATATTTTCAACAGGCCAAGATTCATGGCTTAATAGAAGATTTGGTTGAAATTTTCATTTACAAAATGCTCATATACATTGAAAAGCGAATATCTCAATAAAACAAACTGGATTCTTAATGCAATCTTCAGCAAAGTTCTCACTTATTAACTGAACTACAAGTTTTGAAAATCTGAATCGAATCGAGGATATGGAAACTTTTTTTTATGATCTGTAGTATAGGAGTGTCATTTTTCATGTATTTTAACCAAATGAGCTGAAATTTTTGGATAATGGTTTTCTCATCTATAGGCACAAATCTAGGGGTTGACCCGTGGAATATTAGAACTTTTATTTTTGTGGGTCAGTCTAGTAGGCAGTTATGGTTATGGATAGAATTCTAAGGTAGATGTGACTCAAGAAATTTCACGTGCTATGTGGGATTTGCAACGAAATTGTTAAGGTAGTTCAGATATAGTTAATTGTTTTTCTTCTTCTTATTTTTGAATTATCTAAACCATTTTTTTGCAAGAGAAATAAGGGATTGAACTAATTTTCAATTTTGGGACTTGGTTATTCTATTTTAAACATCCTGGGACTGACACAAACGTTCTGGAACCATGGAAAAACATTTCCGCTGTTCTCACCAAAATTTACGTTTCCAATTCTATAAGTTATGAGAAATTTCGAGTAGAAGCTGATGGAATCTTTTTGGAGAGGTTTTTGATAAACAATGACAAATTTGATTATTTTCAACAACTGTAACCGTTTCGATGGTATTAGCAAAACATGTGTCTGATACAAAATTCCATTTGATTGACGCTGTATATCATACACATCATGTAGGTTAACGAGAATAAGTTTTGAATAAGGTTCAGTCCAACGACCAATAAGAGCTGGAGTTAATGAATGTTTGACCTTGCTTAACTCTTATCGGCATCATTTTATTTTCAGTCTCACTTGTTAACTACCAAGGAACAACAGTTGAAACTAAATCAGTTAAATTATTTTCATGTACTCATTGTGGTGAAGTGTGTAATTAATTGAACGCAGCAGTGTAGTGTTGATTTTCCCCGACAAGGTACGATAATTGCACCGATCGTACCGAAATGGGAAACAAGTGTAGTAGCAGTAGCTGCTACAATGGTAGTAGCTTGTGTTGTGAAGAATCCAAGGCCACCGGCTGCTGCGGCAGTTGCTGCGGGATAAGGTTTAAAAGAAAATGGACACCATCGGAAACGGAAGCACGGGGTCACCTCATGGGTGGAAGAAACCCACTTGCCACGCCGATGATTGAGATGAAGCATGATGTTGTTGGTAAGTTATCAAATGAAGATTAAATTTTTTTTGCAGATGGATTAACAACACAGCATTATTGGTATTGGATATGCTCTGGTACTGACAGACTCGCTCAATATGCTTGTCAAACTGCAAGAATCGGTCTAAAAATAAATGTTTAAGAGCAAGTTGAAACCTGGGTCAAATAGGCCGGTTAATGCACCGCTCCTAGAGGTTGCTGAAAGTTGATTCTGTTTGTTTTAGAAAGATAGGAAAAGTTACAAAATTTCTACTCTGTAGCTTGTTCTGTTGGGAAGTTACAGCAATTTATAAGTGTCGCTTGGGTCATATAGACCCTAATTCACTAGGAAGGTTAATATAACTATCGCGAAGTACTCTGTTCTTCATCTTAGAGTATGACATTTTCTTGAAGTTCATTTAACTGTTCTGTATTCGGAATTGACTCTTAAAGATCTCAAAGTTCTGAAATTTTCTGTAATTCTCAGAACTTACTTTCATTCATTTCGCATACAAACATATTTTATGGGATTATGGAACCATAAGATTATTATGATGATATTTTGTATTTGTATGTAGATGTATGCATGTAGAGGATGTAAAGTTTGAGTTTGACACATTAAACCAGCCAATTTCGCTTTATAAGAGTCGCAATATCATTTGATTATTTTCTCTCACCCATTTTTCATTCTTTACCAACAAATATCAGAAAATCGCCGATTGTGGCTCTTGTACAGCACATTCCTTACAACCTCTTCTTGTAGCTTACAAATACAAAATATCATTACAACATCTTATGATTCCATAATACCGTAAAACATTTGTTTATGCTAAATGAATGGAAGTAGCCTTGAAGTTTCCAAAAATGGTGTAATAATACTGATGCTTCCCTGGTTTGTTCTGGAATTTCTGGATTGTGTTTTCTTATGTAATTATTCGGTGATTTTTATTTTCAAGCGTCTTTTTTATCACTAGCCCCTAGGCACTATACACTATACTTGGCACTCTATACTATACTCTTGCCTAATTGCTTTACGAGTTCCAGTAACCCTCGGAGTGCCATTGATGTCAGCTCCTATGCTTCTGATCTTCCTGCTGAGCTTGTAATTCGTGGCCGGGATTCCAATTCCACTGCAGTAATCGCAGATAACTCCTTTACGCTGTCAACCCAACCGGTGTCACGTGACAACATCCTCTGTTATCCGAATTCGAACAAAGTACACCCTCAAATTCATTTGACACCACCAGGACGCACTGTATACAGCACTTTGAAAGCCCCTGAGCCACTCGACCCAGTCGTGTTTGATGCTGTTTCCAGCCATCGGAACCGTCCTGGTCCTGCGGTTGAGATCGGTGAAGGGGTCTTCCAGCCTGTGTTGCCAGGCAAGTATTCTACACATCAAAACATTTCTCTGACTGACATACATTCGCGTTGCAGTTTACCTGAGCGGAATGGTGCATCTTCTGGTGTCACTGCACCCAACGTCGCCGATATATCATCTGAGCTACACCTGTACTACCAAAATGTTCGTGGCCTAAGGACTAAAATTGATCAAGCTTTTCTTGCAACCGCCGAATTGGATTACGACGTGTACGTGTTCACAGAGACATGGCTGGACGATCGTATACAACCTTGCCAGCTATTCAACAACGACTACTGCGTCTATTGCGTTGACCGTTGCGCCTCCAACAGCTTGCGTCGATTTTAAGGCTAAAAATCTCTTTAATAAAGAATTAAAAAAAAAAAAAAGCTTGCGTCGACGTGGCGGAGGCGTACTAATAGCCGTGAAGCGAAAGTACGCTTCTTCAGTTGTCCAGCTTTGGGTGAAAGTCGCTGTCGAACCACTACCTCTGTTTGTTGGTGCACTGTACATGCCGCCAGATAAAAGTCAGGACCAGAATTTTGTTCAGCTTCATGTAGATGCCATCTTTGAAGCAGACAGACGGCATATCCATATGGGTGAGCTCGTCTTGTTCGGTGATTTCAATCAACCTCGTCTGTTCTGGAAAAATTCGAGCAGTGGATACGCCTTCGCTGATCCGATACTGTCACAGACTTCAATGGCCAGTCAAATTATTCTTGATAGTATGGCATTTCTTGGATTGAGGCAGCGTAATTTAATTCGAAACTGTTCTGACCGAGTACTAGATCTAATATTTTCAAACGATTCAATTATGACTAACGGTACCGTAACATTATCAGCTGAAGAAGTTGTGCCAATTGATTGCTATCATCCAGCTCTCTCTTTCTCTGTGATTTGTGTGCCTCCTTCATCATTTCATGAAGATGTTGACCTTTCTGAGCGTAACTTTCGTCGAGGGGATTATGATAACTTGAATGAACTGCTGTCGCAAGTTGATTGGTCTGAAGTATACCAAAGCCATGACGTCGATAGCACCGTCAGCTCCTTCAATCGTATTTTGCATAATTGCATCATTCAAACTGTTCCGCTAAAAAGGCCCCCAAGGAATCCTGCTTGGTCCAATGCGCATCTTCGCACCCTGCGTCGATGGCGCGCCAAGTTACTGCAGCGATATTGTCGTCAACGATGTTTGTATCTAAAGCACCAGTTTGACGAAGCTAGTCGCATCTATCGTGGATACAATCGTTTTTTGTACAAAATGTACGTTAGACGGAGACAAGATGATCTTCGGCGAAACCCGAAACGTTTTTGGAGCTTTGTATATTCAAAACGTAAGGAGAGCGGATTGCCAACTACGATGCACTTAGGAAATGTTCATGCTCTTTCTGCAGAAGCAAAGTGCGAGCTTTTCTCTCAAAAATTTGCTAGCGTGTTTGAGAATCGTATGCCAACTGTGGAGGAGATAGTTGTAGCTGTTGAGCTGGTACCAAGAGACGCGGTGGATCTTGATGTATTCAACATCAACACAGCAACGGTTGAATCAGCTCTACATAAACTCAAGCAGTCTTATCAACCTGGCCCGGATGGCATTCCTTCGTGTGTATTCAAAAAGTGTAGTGCAATCATTGCAGCAACAGTGGTTTCCTTCTGCTTGGAAGACCTCCCATATGCTTCCAGTGCACAAGAAAGGTGATAAGTCAGTTATTTCTAACTACCGTGGGATAACTTCGTTGTCAGCTGGATCTAAGTGCCTCGAAATCATCGTCAATGAAGTACTGTTCAGCTCTTGCAGGAACTACATCAGTGCCTCTCAACACGGATTCTACCCCAAACGATCAGTGGACAGCAATCTGTGTGAATTTACCTCTTTTTGCATCGGCATAATGGACGATGGAGCTCAGGTTGATGCTGTATACACCGACATAAAGGCTGCTTTTGACACCGTGAACCACGATATTCTTCTTGCCAAGCTACTTTGACTAGGCGTTTCCAGCAGAGTATGTAATTGGCTTCGTTCATACTTAAGCAACAGGCAACTCGTTGTTAAAATTGGATCAACAGTGTCTGCTCCGTTTACTCCGTGCTCTGGTGTGCCTCAAGGTAGCAACCTTGGTACATTGTTATTCGTATTATTTTTCAATGACGTGATGATCCTTTGAACTGGGGACTGCTGATTTATGCAGACGATTTGAAAATTTATCTCGTAGTACGAAATGAAGGCGATTGCAGGCAACTTCAAGAGTTACTGGATCGATTCGCTCATTGGTGCAACTCCAGCTTTCTCAAAGTGATGCATCATCTCGTATCGGCGGTGCAAAAAGCCTATTCTGTACAACTACACGATCGATGGACAGGAACATGAGCACGTTGATAAAGTGAAGGATCTTGGAGTATTGCTGGATCACCAACTCACATTCAAGATGCATTATTCAGCTGTTGTTGACAAAGCCAACCGTCAATTAGGATTCATTCTAAAAATCGCGCAAGACTTCAATGATCCACTTTGCTTGCGTGCACTTTATTGCTCTCTAGTTAGATCAATACTAGAATTTGTATCGGTTGTTTGGTCACCGTATGAAGCTGTGTGGATCTCCAGGATCGAATCTGTGCAATGTAAATTTGTCCGGGCTGCACTACGAAGTCTACACACTTAGAACTTTTTACAGAAATCTGTAAAATTTTACCGAAATCTCAACAGCTGAACGTTCGGTAAACAGTTTCGCAGATTTCCTGCAATTTTTCACAAATATCTGTGAATTTTTCACAGATATCTGTAAATAATGACAGGAAATCTGTAAAATTGTTTACCGAACGTTCAGCTGTTGAGATTTCGGTAAAATTTTACAGAAATCTGTAAAATAATCTTAGTGTGTACATTGGCGTGACCCAGTAAACCTACCGCCTTATGAGCATCGTTGTGCCTTGCTCAATATCGAACCGCTGGCAAATCGTCGTAAGATGGATCAAGCTGTATTTGGAGCTAAGATACTTTGCGCAGAGATTGATAGTTCAGCCTTACTGAATCGTATGAGGATTTATGCCCCAGAGCGAGTGTTGCGGTCACGACAACTAATCCAACAAACTCCGAGGAATACTTTATATGGCTCCAATGACCCTTTGAACTCTATAAGCAGACGGTTTCAAGAAGGGTATCATGTTTTTGATTTTAATATGTCTACAAAAAATTTAAAACAACGTTTACGATCTCTGCATATATTTAATTAAACTAGGATTAAGAATATTTCATTAAGACCACGATGTCAGATCAGTGCTAACATTTGAAAACGGCGCAAAAGCCATTTGTAAACAAATGGTTTGTGGGCCCTTTACTCGCTACCCGAAGAACGCCCACGCAAACCAACAGCATCGTCAGGAAGGGGAAAATTTCCCCTACCCGATGTTGCTGTTGTGTCGCGTGGGTGTACTTCAAGTAGTGAGTAAAGGGCCCACAAACCATTTGTTTACAAATGGCTTTTGTGCCGTTTTTAAATGTTAGCACTGAGATGATAGATAACAATAATAAATAAATAAATAAATACACTAGAGTCGCTCTCGAAGTGTAGGTAGAAATATTCATCTGCCCCAGATGAAAATTTCTACACTTCGAGAGCGCCTAGGGTAAATTGGCATTCTAAAATTCCTTAATGTCTTAATGCC